AAATTACACATAAAACATAAATATATAAATAAAAACATTCACATATAAAGGCGTTAACTAGCATTGCTTAGAAAACAAAATTGGGAACAACTACATAGATTAGATGATAATACAGCCACATAAAATGTTCTTCAGCCATTAAAATGAGTAAAATATATCTTTATATACAACATTGGAAGGAATTACATAATACACATATGTATGCATGTGTGTGTGGAGCAGGGTTCTCAACTGGGACAATTTTGATTCCCAGAGGACACACTGTCTGGAGACATTTTTGATGGGCACCACTGTGGAAGTGGTTTACAGTGGGTAGAGGGCAGTTCTGCCCTCAACATCCTAGGACAGCCCTGCACAGCACACAAATACCTGACTTGAAATGTCAGTTCTGTGCAGTTGAGAAACCCTGGTATAGAGGAGGTCTGGAAGGATGCAGCTGATGAAAACACAAAAAGTTTAAAGTTAGGAATAGATTGTGGGAGAACATTTGTTGAGTATCTGTAGGAGACATGGGTCAGAAGGTGTATGTTACTTAATAGGAGAGCAGAGATCAGACAGGTTGCCAGCAGAGTACTCAGAAGGCACTCATACTCTGTTGAAAGAGGTCCTAAAATGTGCTCTAAATGGGCTGAAACCACACCTATTACCATGCTTACTAAGTACCTTATCTTCTTTTTCAGGAGAAGCATGCAAGTCTCAACGATGCAGCCCTTTTAGATATCATTTGTAAGTTTTGGTGACTTGTATTTACACTTAACCAATCCACTTTCAATCAGAGAGCCAATTTTGTATGTAAGGGCTCCGATTCTAGAGTTAGGTTGACCTGGGTTCAAATCCCAGTTTCATCTCTTAAGAGTCTTGGGTCCTTTGCCATGTCATATCATCTCTCCAAGCCTTGGGCTTCTCCTGAGTAAAATGGAAATGTTAGCACCTACACCACAGGATTGCTGTGGCAATTAAATAAGATAATGCTTCAAAAGATCTTAGCACAGTAACTGGCATACGATAAACACATAATAAATGTCTGTTAGGTGTTTTATTGACACTTTGGAATTATATTTCTGAGAATTTGTTCTTACTGCAGTGCAGCTTGTCACCTCTCATCCCTTCCATTTCTGTAATTTTTTCCCTTTGTATAGCCTGGTTTTCCTCTGTATGTAAGATGTCTATTTTCCTCATTAGGAAGCAACATAACATAGGGGCCAAGAGCACAGTTTTTGATACGCGAGTCATGGCTCTGTCATTGCCTCCCTGTGAGTCCTGGGGGGAGGCAGTTAGCATCTCTATGCCTCAGTGTTATCATTTGACCAATCTGTATAATAATGATAATGTCACATAAGGTTATGGTGAGGATTAAATAAGAGTGCACATCAGGTTCTTAGGACAAAGCCTGGAGTTTATTAATTAACTGTTAACAGTCTATATTAACTGGCTGTATATTAAATGTCCTGGAGTATAACAAAAGTCATCTTTATTTATACTGTGCTCCAGGTATAAAATTGCTGAACTCACCTAATTTTCAGTGATTGGATTCTCTCTAGACCATAAAAGGTAGATCCACATAGTTCCCATTTCTCATGCATTTGTTCAGATGGTCATTAAGCATATACTTTGTGCCAGGCTATATGGTAGGCACTGATGAGCCAAAAGAGGTTGAGTCATGGGCCGTAAGAGGTCAGTCTTACCAAGGAGACAGAGTAGTTGGTCACCCAGATGCGTTCATGCAGATCGTATTAAGGGTTATGGGGAAGAGGGCCTCTGAGAGAGCCAAGCAAACCTGCTGTGCTGACAGGAGGAAAGACTTCCTTGAGGAGATGACACCTGACCTGGGAACGAAAGGATGAGGTGGCACTGGTGAGGCCCAGGGGAGACGGGAGGGCACAGCTCTGGGGAGTCTTGGCGGAGGAGGGAGGACAGCCAGGAGCAGGGAGAAGGCGGTGAGGGCAGCGCAGCGATGGAGGAGGGGGGCAAACTAACTGAGGCTTAGGTGGGGGCAATACAGAGACTTAGAGGCCATTTGAAGAATTTCTTTATTCTAAGAATAAGGCAAAGCCTTTCAAAGATTATGAGCAAGAAAGAATGAGATTCTTGTTTTCTTCAAAGATCGCTCTGGTTGTAGTGCAGAGAGAGAGGCCAGGGAGGATGGGGAGAGGCCCACCAGAGTGGGAGTAGTCCAAGCAAGAGAGGATGGTTGTCTGGGGGAGATGGAGAGAAGAGCGTGGGGCCAAGAAACATAAAGGATTCAAACTGACTGGACTTGCACTTGGGTGGCCAAGGGGGGAGTGTGGGAGGAGCACACACGGTTCCAGTGGAGTGACAGGTGCTAGGAAGGAAACTCAAGCAGGGCAGGATGGAGGGTGGGTTCGGGTAGGACGGTCAGGACAGGCCACTCTGCGTAGGTAGCATTTCAGCAGAGGCCAGAGGCAGGTGTGCAGCGAGCAGGAGAGCGCTCCAGACAAAGGCTGCCGCCGCGAGCACACCAGTCGGGAGCACGTCATTCCTGTGCTGCTGGAGAAACGCGGCATTCTGTGGAGCAGACCTGGGTGGACGTGGAGCAAGGGTCTGACTGAGTCAGTGCTGAATCGCCACTATGTTGAGCCCTTCCTCAGGATTCGTTCTAGTGTCTGGAGTATATTTAATCCATACTACAAAACTTATTTTGAATAAAAATCTAGATCTTAAGTTATACATTTCTGTTTTTTCTGAGTCATATTATTGAAAATACGTATTTGTAAGCACAAGGCTTGAATGTTCTCTGGTACAGTAGTAATAACCTCTTCTTCCCTCTCTCAGATACTCAGTTTCATCAGCACCAGAAAGTTTGGGATGTTTTTCAGATGCATAAAGGACCAGGTAATGTTTCCATTTTAAACTGAACATTTGTTGTTATTTTGGCAATTTTAAAATGAGTAGCAACATGTTCCTTTTAGATCTCTTTTCTTTCAAAATGAGTAATTTCAAAGTTACTCATTTGTGGGAAGATGAGAGATCTATTTGGTGTTGCTGTGCGGGAAGCACCAGCAGCGTTTGATCTGATCATTAGGTCCTGAGGCTGCGGAAAACGGTGACCTTGGAGGTCTTTGAAGATGTGCTTACTGAACACTGTAGTTCCTTTGATTTTTTTCTTGGTTTTTCTTTTCACTTTGACAGGTGAAGACACTGACCTTTTTGATATGGGACAATTCAAAGGTTCATTTAAGAAAATTCTTCAGAGAGCATTAAAAAATGTAAGAAAATGTATCTGAATTCCCATGAAATTCAATTTCATGGCATCTCTGCACTTAAAATTTGCTACTACCTTGTTTTTGGTTTTGTGTTCAGTAAGAATTTCCATTAGTAATATTGCATACTATTCTGGTCCATATCAAAGATAAATGCTACTTACTATAAAAACCTCCTCTCACCTCTCAATTCAGAGCCAAGTGCTTCTCTTTCCAGAGCAGTGCCAGCCAGCAGGACCCTGGGGTACTGGAAAGGGTCTGCAAGGGCTCTCAGGCAGCACACTAGCTTGTAGCCATGTGTTCTAACAATTCTCTGGTAGGTCACCCCCGGGGGTCAGTGGGTGCGGTGCTGGTCAGGGCAGCTCTGGAGCACTCCCAGAATCGTCAGCTACAGTTTGATTTCTGCCAGCACCACCTACTATCTGACCTTCAGTTGAGAAGAACCTTTTTTTTTTATCAGCCTCCCCCTCCTTCATTCTCTTTCCACCTTCATGTGTCTTAGTCGTTGCATATAAAAAAACATGACCAAAATATCCGTCACATGTGACAGCTGTGACTGTCCCCCTAGGACAGTGGCATTCCCTCTCCATCTCTACCTTTTCCTCTGTAACTTCTGTCACAATGCCTACTTACCCACTTGTCACTGAATATGCTCTCTTGTCTCCTTTCCAATGATGACCCTTGTATTTGTGCTTTAAGTCCACCTCCTACATCCTTGGAGAGCATGCCTGCTCTGTGTTTCTCTCTGTTCTCTTTCACGTTCTCATCTCTCGCTGTACTGATTCCTGCTCTGCTGCTTAGGCACATGCTCAGGTGCCAGTACAGGTGCATCCACTCCCCTGCTCCACCTCGTGCTCTGTCCTTTCCCCCGCACACTCATGGCGGGAATACTTCTTGCTCCTGTTGTGTCCTTTGTCTGTTCTGGTCTGTTCCTCTGTCTCTACCCCTGCGAGCGAGGCCACCCAGAGTGGTTCTGCCAGTGACCATGTAGGCAACTCTGCCTGACCCTGGATTTTGTTATCCTGAAGCCCACCTGCCTAAAGAGAGGAGCCAGTCACTAGTTTCTTGGTCATCCAAGTTATATTTTGACCTCCATCTGCCCACTCTTTTACCTTATTTCTCCATTGGTCCAGAAAAACGGTGCTATTTATTGGTCTTCAAGTCTGAAAAGGTAATATATCCTGCCAGCATCGCGCCTACACCGCCTGCATTCTGACTGTTGCTCTCACCAGCATACAGATGCTGTTCTGAAAGGCAGTGTCCCTGACAGTGGGGTCCTCAGACCAGAAGCGTCAGCACTACGTGAGCAGGGGTGCCCTCTTGTCCCAGAATCTCTGTCCTCTCCTGTTCCTCTCCCCCCGTCCTGAACTCCTTTCTAGCTTCCATGACTGCCCACCTCCTTCCCTTCAGTTCTGCCCTTTGCTGGAGCATCCCTCAGGGCTCTGCACTCAGCCCTCGCCTGCTGGGGCTAAGCCATGGGAATCACACTCTTAGGGGAAAAGAGGAGGTAGGGATACAGTAATTTATCATTTCTGTTTCAAAAGCTAATGAGTTGTCCCAACACCATTTGCTGACTAATTTAACCTTTTCTTTCTTTTTTTTTTTTATTGAAGTATAGTTGATAGGCAATATATTATTAGTTTCAAGTATACCACGTAGTTAGCTTTTTCTACTGCTTTATTACCTTTGGGTTCTGTAGATTCAGTCTCAGTCATAGAGTCTGTATTCTGCTCCTTGATCTGTTTCTCCTCGTGCCCTCCTGGACCCTCTGCCAGCCTCTCAGGTGCCATCCCCAGTACTCTGCGCTCCAGTCAGACCACTCTGATCCCTGAGTGCTTGAACTTCCCCCTCCCTGGAACAGCCTCTGCCATCTGCCTTTGCACAGTTCACTCCTCCCTGTCCTTCTGACTTCCTCCTAAACAGGGCTCCCTCCTAGAGGCCTTCCCGAGCCCCTGGACTAGATGCCCCACGCCCCCGTATTATCCCCCAGTCACCACACTCTCCGTTTTCTGGTTTAACGGCCGGCTTTCCTCCCAGCCCATAGGTTCCCGGAGAGCCGCCCCTGACCAGCCTGCTCCCTGCTGACCCAGGCAAGGCCTTAAAGAGCAGAGCGCTGGGGATAAGCGCATTGGGCACATTCTTTGCAAACTCCTTATTTCTTTAATTGCTGTAGTTTCTAAATATGCCAGTAATTGTTAAGGCAAGTCAACCCTGCCTCTACCTCCAGTTCCTCCTCTTTATCAAAAATATTCTTCAAGATGATCCTTAGAGTCATTATCAAATGATACAACAAAACAACATCTTCAAACTTTTGAGTCAGGGTCCATTTAATTTGTAAAGTAATGCAAGAATAACCATGAGCCAAGAGAAGGTATGTCTCTCCATTTTTATTATCTTTCTTTTGTGAATAAGCACATTACCTTGTTCCTAAGTTGTCGTTTTTCATTATACTTTCATGGTAAAGATATTTTTCAAATAATACCAGAGTTTAAAGGAGACTCCCATCTGGACTGTGAGTTTGGCACATGCACCTGTTGTTGTTTTTTAAACACAGTCCCACTGGCACAGAATCCCTGCATAACTTTCCATAAATGCTGTGGTTATGCGGTCTGGACCCTTCTGGAACCAGCCTTTTTATGCAGCTGAACATGACTGGCTGACAGGTCTTGAAAAACGCTTGGAGCAGTGTCTCCACCCCACTTCCCTCACAACCAGAAACCTCCCCGTGAGCTGCCCTCGGCTGCAGCTCAGGATTCATCTGCGTCCTTCCTTTTCCATGTCTGCTTCCCATCTGATGATCTCCTGTCCCTCTCTGGGCACCAGCAACTTCTTTTCTCTGTACCCCATGCCTCCTGCCCCATCATTCAAGGAGGAAAAAGTCTGAAATGCTCATATTTACTCCTACTTCAATTTAATGCCCATATAGATTAGTTGTTAGATTTCTTTTTATCACTAGCACGTTCCAAAAAGCTTTCACCTCCTGAGAGAGTTACAGGGGACTAGCAGGGGATGCAGGGGAACAAAGCTTTTTCATTGGTCAAATCAAAGGCCAGCTAGAGGGCGTGTGCTGGGTGTGCTGGAGGCTGTAGACGATGACGATAAAGCAGAGGTAAAGCCCCAGTGTCTTCTCGGTCTCCCCTGGCCCCCTACTCTGACTGGCCCACATGCCCTAACCCCTTTCCTTAATTGACTGAGGGCGCCCAACTCTTCTTCGCTTTCCTCCCCATAACATTACTAGCAGCTGGGTGACCCTGCTTTCCCAAGGCCAAGGATGGTGACGTCATGCCAAGTAGAGTCCTGGTGTCTGGGAGCAAAGAGTAACTCACCTGCGGCTCTAGGACAGGCATCTTAATCTTTCTGTGTCAAGGACCCCTGTGGCTGTTAATGCAGCTTCTGGACCACTTCTTGGAAGATTGTTTTTAAATGCTATAAGAGAAAATACATAGAATTTTAAGGGAAACCAGTTATATTAAAATAGTTATTAATGTATTAAAATGCTAAGTTGTGATATAAATGTATGTGCTTCTTTATTAGCACAATAAATAATCTCACAGTGGGTCTAAAAACTAGTGTCAAAGCAGCGAGGGGTATAAAGGATATTTTTGAGACATATGCAAGAATTGTGCCATGATAAGAGAATATGTGGGGTTTCTGTGACCAACAAAGCAGCAGATCCTAACTGCTACTGTCTTGCTGCCTGTCTTCACATTGAAGGAGATGCTGAATTTCAGTTAGTATAGATACCTTGAATTCTAACCATGGACCTGAGGTTAAGAACTCCTGCCCTTGAACCAGTCAGGCAGAGAAGCTGGTGTGCGAGGAGCAGGGAGCCTGTGTTAGTAATGATAATCTGTATTAAATATAGTTAAGTATATGCAGTCTATGTGTTGTAAGCTTCATTTGATTCCCCCGCTAAACGTTTTTCTGTATGTTCAGTAGTTTGTGGGTCTTGGACAGTTATTGACAATTTGTGCCTATTAGGAGGCACCATGGCCAGCAGTACAGACCTAGGTTAGCCAAACCACTCAGGACCCGTGGCTGGACTAGTCACCTAGTTAAGCTTAAGCAATGTTAATCCAAGCTATCCTCTGAAAAATGCTAATCCCGGCTATTACAGGATGATATCTATTGAGGTAGTTTCTTGGGAAAACAATAAAGGTCTCCATTTGGGCCCTACCTCTTCAGGTATCTGCGTATCTTCTTTACTGTAAGAATATGAAATGGAACATCTGAAAGCCATCTGGGCCAGGATTGTTCTGACTTTGTGGGCATCCTTTTCTCTTAGCCCATTGATTTTTAACCTTTTCTGGATCATATATCCTTATGGAAATTTTGATCACTATTACGGCTCCTCTCCAGAAAAGCATAGGCCTAAGCATGTCCACCTGACTGCGTCCAGTTCAGGGAGGCTACCGACCTCTGCAAGCACCCCCGGATCCCTCAAATTAATGGCATTCTAGACTAGAGAGGCCACTATATACAGCACTACCAATTTTTTTCCTTGTAGTAAAAGTGTGTCCTCCATATATTGCATTCAATCTGGATTTTACAGGTGTTTTTCGCTTCTGTAATGTGACCCAGGCTATTCAGAATAAGACCCCATCCTCTTCCATTCAGGGCAGCAGAGGTCTCTGCATGCCTCTGGGCACCAAGCACTGTGCTGTTCACTCAGGGCAAGGTCAGACAGCTGTGCAACCTCCACGCCCCAGACTGCAGAGTTCCTTGTCTGATCACTGAGGCAATTTGGGGAAGCAGCCAGATAAAGAGTGGGCAGGGCTAGAGTAACTGCCATCTTTGCCATGTTATAGCCTGCTTTCCCTGGAGTGAGATACAAGAGGGAGGAAATAAAGAGACATGGGCAAGCTGAGGGCACCTGTCTCAAAACCTCCTTCCAGGGTCTAAACTCCAATGGGAGCTGAATCAAGGGGAGCCTTAATAATCTAGGAGTGAGCTATTAAATTCCAGAGCTACTGGCAATCATATTTAAAAGATCTGTGTTTTATCCATGAAATAGAAACCAAGTCAAGTTTCCTATATCAGTCAGCCTGTGGGCAGGACCACAGTAACGTCTTTTACCCCTAAAAAGCACCTTTTGTTGATGCCACAAGATTTTAATTAGGAAACAAATCATTTTTTTAATAAGGTCACAGTCAGCTTCAGAGATGCCGAGGAGAATGCAGTGTGGATCCGGATTGCATGGGGAACCCAGTACAGAAAGCCAAACCAGTACAAGCCTACCTACGTGGTGTACCACTCCCAGACTCCATATGCCTTCATTTCTTCATCCCAGCTCAAGACCAGTGTTTCCCTTCTGGGTCAGGTATGGAACCAATTACTACAAGATCTAATATTTTCTTACTCTTATCCCAGAGGTCTGTGTAGGTTTAAACGGTTCAATAAGCATTTCACATAAAATATCCCGTGTAATTCTTGATTTCCTAAAATAAGGAGCAGAAAGTGGTGTTGGACTCCAAGTGGAAGCGTGGCAAGAGCACTGGTTTGGAGGTCTTCCTTATTGTCTTTTAATCTAGAAGTACATGCTTTGTATAAAAATTCATGAAGTCTCTACAGAGAACGTCCATTAAGACTTCATACCCCTTCCCAATCCCATTCATCCAAAATAGCCACTGTTAACAGTGTCATTTCCTTACAGAATGTTTTCCTCCAGAAAACAGGGTAGCACATAGCATCTATAAGTTGCTTTTTTCACATTTCCATGTAGTTACATATAAATCTCACTACTTTTTCAGGACTGCATGATTTGCCTATTAATGAACATTATTTTCACTTGTAACTATTTTCCCCACGTTCTGTGCACAAGAAAACTTTTAACACAAAAGGCCACCTTTTCTTAATGGTTCTTGGGGTCCCAGGCCTCCTAGCTTCTTTCCCCAGAGTAAGCTGTCCCTGAATTGACCTGGCGACTGCTGCGGCTCCCACTCTCTAGTAGCACCCCCAGCTACAGTAGCACCCCTTCAGCTGGCTCGAGGCAAGCAGCCCCACCACCCTGGCCGCCTCGGCTCTAGTGCCGAGCGGAGCGCTGTCGGGTAGTGGACTGAACCACAGCCGTAGGATCCTACCAGGCAAAGTTTCTTGTCATTTAAACTCCCTTTGCTGTTACTGAAATGACAGATTTCTACTGCCCTTTAATACTTAACTCTACTTTTTACATTTGCCGTCTCTTCCTTCATAAATACACAGTGGTCATTCATCCACTGACAGCCAAGTGAGTCCACCCCACCACAGCTAATGTGAACATTACCCCAAAAGCCAATGTTCATTTCCATTATGTATCCTAAGGCAAACTTATCTCCACTCTAGTCCCAGATAAATATCTTATTCTATTAATTCTGTTTCAGTCTTCTAACTTGTTTCCCCAGATGATGGGAGGCTTTTCTAAACTGCAATTAATATGTGCTTTTTTCTAAAAAATATTAGTCCTAAAGCATACATATTTACATTTTCATGTGGCAGTATCATTCGTAATATTAGATGACTGATACTATAAAACAGTAGCATTTGAGTATTCATTGTTTATTCCTAAGGTTGAACTTACTTTATTATATTTCCTAATTATAATAGGATCATTTTTCAAAAATGATCTACATTTGTGAGACTCTTAATGCCATTAGCAACTTTTTGTTTTTTAAAGCTGGTTAACAAGTCATGAGATTAAATTTTTCTGAACTTGCTTTTACTTCAGTGGAAAATATTAAGTGACCGCAGCTCCTACATTTTCTTTTAACGGGTATTAAAAGAACAGGGACAAAACAGTAATCCTAACAGTCTTGTTAATTTTCACTTCAAGGCACTGACAATTGCTAGCAAACATCATCAGATTGTGAAAATGGACCTCAGAAGCCGGTATCTGGACTCTCTGAAGGCTATTGTCTTTAAACAGTATAATCAGGTGAGCCCATCAGCGACTCTCCTTAAAGTTATGTCTCATTTTCCCTTTTCACAGGTGACCTAGAAGCCATTGAACAGGTGGGAAAGTTCACCTCCAACAAAAGGAGCCCACTTCAGGTGTCACTGAAGTGGAGAAAGCTTTCAGTTAGTTAATGTGAAAGGAAACAAAATAATAGCTCCCTGTAATCTTTTTTGTAACTATATTGTGTTTTACACTGATGTTAAGTCAGTTACAGATCCCAGTTTCCAAATCAGCTGTTCCAGTTAGAATTCATTTTCTCTTTGGAATAACATGACACTGTCTTTTATCGATACAATATAATTATATTATTCTTATAGTGCAAGAGAGAAGTAAAATTAACTTTTTGTCCCATCAATCAGGCAGGTGATACTGGGGTTGGAAAAAAAGGAGAAAGCATTGGTTCACTAAGTCCCACAATTTATTTGTTAAAATTATTTGAGTGCATTCTTTCCCTGGCCTTGCTTATAGGCCCAGGGTTATTTTTTCCTCTGCGTGGCATCTGTGTGCTTATATGTTCAGACTCCTGTGGGTGGATTGTTAATCCTCTGTGTGTATCTTTAAGCCCTTAGATATGTCATACTTGAGTATTTTCATCTGTTCTAAGTGGAAAGCAGTGGTGGTTCTCCGCAAACCCCTCTTTAAGGGAAAAAGCTAACATTAAGAAGTTAGATACTGATTTCTCCCATAGCAGCAGCCCCTTTACCCACCACCATCTCACCAAACTGATAGCTGCTATTCTGTTGGGACAGTTGCATTTCAGTGAAAATTCACGTTTTCAAATACTTAATTACAAACAACAGGCAGTGGGGAAAGTGAGAGAAGTGGTTTGAGAGATTCAGACTTACAGTAGGAAAGTTATTTCTCCAAAAGGAATCACAGTGAGTTTTTTATGCTTACAAAGACACAGCTTTAAGCACATTGCAGATACTGCCTTTGATTTCTCTGGCTTCTGGACTCACCACCTATATGTCTTTCAGATCCATTTTTATGTTAACAAAGTATAGAACTTCTCAATCAAAACAGCCATGTTGCTGACCCAGCAGTCTGTGCTCTAGGAGAAATGTTCAGCTCAACCTAGTATGGCTCAAATCTCTTTTTGTTGGAAAAAAATGAAGATAAGATGTGACATACTTTTATGTACTAAAGCCAATTCATATCAATACTTTTAAGATGTTAAAATTAGGAAAATAATCACTTTTTTCTCTTTTTTTTTTTTTTTTTTTAGACTATTGAAACTCACAACTCTACTACACCTCTACAGGAAAGAAGCCTTGGGCTAGATATAAATAGTATGTGTGTTTTGAAACTGAAATTTGGAAGTGCATCATTCCTTTTTAGATTTCTGTCACTCAGTAAAACATTTATCTACTAGGAGCCTGATTCAAAACTATTTACTACTTTCAGAAAAATTGAAAATTAAATTTCTGTTGAAGAGAAGCTAAGCTGCCACAGATTTCCTTTTAGAATTTACCAGGATGGCCCCTAATAGTAACAAAAACTAAAATTAACCAATAGTCAAGCATTTCTTCTGTGACAAGTACCATACTAAGATGTTTAGATGTATTACTTCTCTAACGACCATTGCAGTCCCATGAACAAGCTCCATTCGTCAGGGAACTGGGTTCAGAGAGACTTGGTAACTTGCTAGGTGAAGTCGTACAGCCAGGAATTGTCAAAACCAGGCATGAAATCCAAATCTGAGTCTGGAGCCCAGGCCCTTGATGCACTGGATAAACTATTTCTTGAATCATCAGAATTGTGATCATATCACTACTCACAAATGACCTGAATCTCTCCCTAGAAAACCCAGGAGTAAGAAACTAATGTGGATCAGAAAGTTCAGAAAAATGGTGGGGTATGATATAAATGTATAAAAATAAAAAATGTCCTACCTTAGCAGCGACTTGGCAATAAAATGGTACAGCCATTATGAACTACATTTTAATGACTTAACAATGGCATAGGGATTGCCATTGACTTCATGTTAAATAAAGAAAGCAGGACACAAAATTGTGTTTATATTATAATCCCAGCTTAAAAAATATGCATATCTTTTATTCACTAAAACAAGGGTTAGATAGAAATGTATTAAAATGTTAATAGTGCTTTTCTCTGAGTGGTAGAATTTTGGGTGATTTTTTTCTTTATCAGGCTGTATATTCCAACTTTTCTACAGTAAGAAATTTTATAATCAAGACAAGAAACAGTAAGCATTATGACTTATACAAGCAAGTTGAAAGTTTAGGAATGAAAGGATATTTTATGGATGAAATGTATTCCTAACAAGTACTTTTAAAATCTTTCATCTATAGCGGATTCAAGGATCATTCATGAAAACAGAATAGAAAAAGAGAGAGTCCAGAGAGTGACTCAGGAAACTTTTGGAGACTATCCTCAGCCAAGATTAGAATTTGCACAGTATAAGGTAGGCCATTGCTATAAACAGGAACTATAGTCATCAATAATTTTTAAAAGAGCAAAAATTTTAAGTGGAAAGCAGTTCTAAGAAACTTTCTTGTTCATTTATCACATTAATTTTGTGTAATAAATTTATGAGTAAAAATAGGCTTCTGTATCATATTTAGTAAGTTTTGTTAACAAAGGAGACTTCTGAAAATTCTGAATTTGCCCTTTTCACCTTACATATTAGTTCAGTATGTGTAACTGACTGTGATCTGTAACTTTGAGAAAAAAGAAATTGTACCCCATCCACACCAAAAACAATACTTACATGTAGTTGGTGCCCATAAATACTTGTGGAATTAAAGAAAATAAGCAAGTCATTACATAGCCCAGTTGGTGTCACATGGAGAAAAAACAGTAGCTTAGTCAGTACTGCAAACCTAGCTCATTCCAGAAGTGTGTCACTGCCCACCAGGAGGGCCAGGTCAGAGGCAAGCCCCTTGCCACCATGAGAGGAATTTGGGGTTAATATGTGATCACCCTAATCTAATACTCATGCTCACCCGCCTCCCTGAAAATCCTCCAATAAAATTCTTGATGCTTAGCACAGTTATAGCTACAGGCCACATTTTAAATGTGCCATTGATCTGCTCACTAAGACCCAACACCTGTTTGGTTTGGTTTGTTTTTAGTGGGAAAAGCTGATGGACACCTTTCAAGTTATGTTCCCCAAATGGCAGTTTTAGCCCAGTTCCTTTGTAAACAGCTCATACTCCAGGACTCTGCTTGACAAAGCGTGGTCCCTGGACCACCAGTATCAGCATCATCTGGGAGTGGGTCAGAGATGTAGATCCTTGGCCCCACCCTAATCCTGCTAGGTCAGAACTATGGAAGTGGGACCCAGCCAGCCATCTGTTTTAACAAGCCCCCTAGCTGATTCTGCACACTGAAGTTAAAGAACCGCTGATCGAAGTAAGAGTTAATCCACAAAACTGCCCTTATACACATTTTAGAGTACTGAGTCAAGGTGCACCTTAATACCTAGCTGCTACTAACTTTTCCCTACCTTTTCTATTTTGAAAAACATCAAATCTTCAGAAAACTTGCAAGACCATTACAAAGAGCATCCATTTCTCCTGTTTCAGTTCACCATTTGTTAACATTTCACCCATTTGCTTGCTTTTTCTGTCTTAATTCTGCACCATTTGAGTCACTTGCAGACATTACTCACCCTCTGAATATTTAATCATACTGCCTCAAAATTTTAAGGATCATTGTAAGTAAAAAATTTTGAAATTAGAACCTAAGATTCAAGTACCTATTAAAATAGTATTTGGATATTTGATGATATTAAGAATTGTTCCTAATCATTCTGGTATAGTAATATTCTTTGGGTGAAGTTTTTGAAGTCTTTTAGATACATACTAAAATATTTAGTGATGGAATACTGTCTTGGATATGCTCCAGAATATTCCAGTGGAGTGTGGGCAGCAGGGAATGGGAGGTGGGGCAACAGATGAAACAACACCAGCCACAAGCTGATCATTGTTTCAGCTGGGTGATGTACACACGGGGACTCGTTATACTGTGCCTCTTAATTTTGCATATTTCTAAAAATCTTCCATAATAAGAACGTGAAAGGAAATCACGGTAGTGACAAAAGACGTCATTTTTACATTGAAATGACAGATTACAAAAGGTAGTGCTAATTTTCCATTAAGAATGCAAACTAAATACTCAGGTAAATGTCACCTGGGAGAGGAGCTGACATCCAGGGCCTCCTGTTTGTCAGGCACCGTGTAAGCCTGGCAGTTTGTGTGCAATATTGTTCAAGATACGGGCTGCCCTTTACATTTGCAATTAGCAAATTAAATGGTTCCCACCCCCATTAATCCCTATATTTGTTGGCGAGAATTAATAAAATGCATGATCTGATTTCATTATAATTTGCCATTCAAACTGATTTATTTAATAGTCATTTATAAATATATTTGTTGACAGCTTGAAACAAAATTCAAAAGTGAATTAAATGGGGGCATCTTGGCTGAGAGAGAAGAACCACTCCGGTGTCTAATAAAGTTCTCTAGCCCACATCTTCTGGAAGCGTTGAAGTCCTTAGCACCAGCCGGTAAGAGTCTACATTACGAGCTAGGAGAAGTAACTGCTCTTTGCTGACTGCTTTCCTCTGAGCTTTCTCATGGCTCCAGGCTGCTATCCCATCACGCCGTGGTCTGCATATTCTGTTCTGCAGAATGGGGGTCCATGATCCACCCTCTAATCTTCACCATTTTTAAACTGACTCTTGTCCCTCTGATTATTTTCATTTTCTTCTTTTTTTTTTAAAATTTCAGGTCTTGCAGATGCCCCACTTTCTCCACTGCTCACCTGCATACCCAACAAAGGAATGAATTATTTTAAAATTAGAGATAAATAAAATGTATGTGGTTTTGTAAGCACAGCATCTCCTTGACCATACTGCATAAGCATTTCAGTTAACAGCTAGCTGAATAGCTTCTGATAGGTAAACTTGTGTTAAGAAATTAATCCTTGATATTGACAGTTTAGAAATGTTCATTGTAATTATTGGGACCAATCCTTTCCTCCACTGTTGTTTCCCCTTTCCCCCATATTGGACAGAGCATAGCAGTTGTGGGTCTTTAACATGTGGCAGGATGTCCTTTTTTGTCACTCCTGTCTCCCCTCTATCTTAAAGAGGCCTGGTTCTAATCGCTGGTTTCCAAGGATTTTCTCTTAAACCTTGGATCATGGCAACAAGCACCATGAAACTATACACCACTCAAAACTTTCTAGGAGAATCATTAAAATTGGTTCATTCAAAGGGTAGAGTTGAATCCATTAAGTTACTATTTCAGGAGGTAGCATATCAGATGATTCAGTTATAAAAAAATAATGGTTTCATTGTAAAACTTTTCACATTTGATCAGTTCATGTATTCATATCAGCTTTATCGTACATTACGTACAGCATTCAAATTGACCAATATTACACTGATTTGTGGAGAAAGATATTTAAAAGCTGGTATACATCAGTTAGTATTGATGAAAAGCCTTCTGTGATCATCACTAAATTTCAGCATGTTCCTTTATAATATTTTAAAATCTAGTACATATCTTGTTCTACAAAGGATCTGGGGTCATAAAAATATGTTACAATTATAATAAAATTAAAAGGTGAGGCAATCTGAGCAAATGGGAGGCCAAAAAGAATAGGAGGATAGAATAAACCTAAGGATAGGATTACCATGTAAGAACATACAAGTGTCTCTCCAGTTGTCAGAATATTGAAAAATTTGGAGCAGTAATTTAACCAGTGGCCAGAGCAGAGAAAACTCCAGTTTGTGAATAAAGATTTTTAAAAATTGGTACATCAGTTACCTTTGATGAAGTCAGAAAGGGGCTTAATACACAGGTAGATAAATACAGTCAGAAAAACAGGGCTGAACAATGCTTTATAATGCCATGGTATTGTCTACAGATAATAGGTATCTTATGTGAAAAATGTTTTTAGATTTAATTAGCAAATGACATGGGCACTTATCTCAGAGTAAGGCCCTGAGTCTGAGTCTGTAGGGGCTTAATAATGCTAGTTTCCCTGTAGACTATAGTCATGGTTTAGAGCATCTCTCCGTTTGTGCACATACATGGTAGGCACTTCTGCTAGGTGCAGAATGCCTGTATTAGGTCTGCACAGAGGCCCTGCTGCATCCCATGGTGGTTTCTCACAGGCTCACAGCCCTCTCTGGTGCTTGGCAGGGAGGTGCAACTGGAGCCTGAACGATAAAGATGCTAATCATGGCCTGCGTATAGTGGAATCCCTTGAGACTATACTCTGCTGCCCTCCCAGACGGGCTTAGAGAATGAAACTACATAGAACTCCTACTCATTACGAACTTGATGGTCTAGAGATACATGCTGCAATCATCACATGTAGTCCTGGCAACAGATGGAGCAGAAAAGGCAAATCCAATGACATCTCTGGCCAAAGGAATTTACTGCACATTAGATACGGTCTCCAGAAATGAATAGTAGCTAACATTTGTTGTGCACTTACTATGTGGGAGGATAGTGCAATTTTATGTGCACTATCTTCATAACAATTGTACAAGGCAGGCAGCATTGCTAGTCTTGTTCTACTTAAGTGAATACCAAAGCTTAGGCTAGAAGTGGCTGAGCCCACATAACCCCAGGCAGTCAGACTCCAGAGTCTGTACTCTTAGACACCATGTCTAAAAAAAATTAATAGCCAATGGATGCTATCCCACACATAGATGTAGGGTTTTTTTTGGCTCATAATACTTTAAATCAGAATTAGTACCTGTGGTGGGCAGAATAACATCCCTTTCCTCAAAGACGTCCACGTCCTAATCCCTGGAATCTGTAAATATGTTACTTTACAAAAGGAATTTGCACATGGGATTATCCTGCATTTCCTGGATGGAACTCACAAGGGGCCTCAAAAGTGGAAGAGGAAAAGAAGAGAGCAGAGAAGAGAGAAGAGATGTGACTAGTGAAGAAAATCAGAGTGAGGTGGTGAAGATTCGACCCACCCTTAATGACTGGGAGGCTGGAAAAGGCAAGCAAGCAGGTTATTCAGATCTCCAGAAGAAATCCAGCCTGCTGAAACCTTGATTTTAGCCTAGTAGACATTTCAAACTTGTGGCTTCCAGAATTGTAAGATAAATCTGTTGTTTTAAGCCCACTAGGATTGTAGTAATTCTTTAGTGCAACTATAAAAACTAACACAGCTGCTAATACATGAAAGTTGGAAGTTTTCACATAAAAATCTTGGAAGATCTAAAGATTCCAAAGGTGAGTAGCAGATGCCCCCTTTAGACAAAGGATGTATTTCCCATTTCACTAAAGTCCTCACTCCTTGTCTACACCTGTCCTCCTATGTTCATTTATATGACCTATTTAGCTCCTCAAGGTACCTAGGTTTTGGAACCCTGCCCTGACCTACACCGTCTCCCAAAGAGTAATCCATTTCAGTAGTTAAAATACAGGCGAGTAAATCCAACCTCTCTAAAGTGATTAGCTCTTGACATTTAAGACAAGCATTCGTTTGCATAACGTGATCTAGGGCAAGTTACTTAACTGCAAGATGGAGGAAAACAGTACATGTCTGCTACGGCTGTTTTGAGGATAAAATGTGATACTGATGAAAAGTGCATTCCTCATTGTCTGGCACAGGGTTACCCCTCAATAAACAAAAGCTGTAGTTAACGTACTATTGCCTCTCCTGCCTTTGAGCTTTCCGGTTTCTGAACGACCTTGCTTTTTCCTCTATCCACTTACTGGCCGAGGTCGTTTCTGGGAAGGTGAGGAACGCATCAGCGGGGCCAACACGCCAACACTTTCTGCCCTTCTCAGACCGCAGTGAGGTTTTTCAACCCTCCCTCTCACCTGGCGGCCACCCCACGAGACTCGCCCCACCCCACCCCCGCAGTGGCCGGCAGGGGGCGCTGCTGCAGTCCCTGCCCCGCCGGATGCTAATGAGCCGAGAGGCTCTGCCCTCTGCCGGAAGTAGCGGCCGGGGGCGGGACCTGCTGCCTTGGGGGAAACATGGCGGCATCTGAGGCGGCGGCGGCGGTGTCCGCGGCTTTGGCCTCGGGCGCCCCGGCTGTCCCGGCGGCCGCGAGGGGAGCCGCCGCCGCCTCGGGCCCGTGGGTGCCGCCCGGACGGCTGAGAGGCAGCCGGCCGCGGCCTGCGACGGCGAGGCAGCAGCCTGCGGGTCCGGCCCCTCCGGCCCGGGAGCTGATCCAGCCGTCGGTAAGCGAGCTGTCCCGGGCGGTGCGGACCAACATCCTGTGCACCGTGCGCGGCTGCGGCAAGATCCTGCCCAACAGCCCCGCGCTCAACATGCACCTGGTCAAGAGCCACCGCCTGCAGGTGAGCCCGCCGCGGTCGGCGCCGCGCGGGGGGGGCGCGCTGGGCGCCCAGCTTGCGCCCCGGCGGCCTCGGGGCCTCCGTGCGCGCCCCGGCGGGGCGCGGGGCCGGACGCGGGGACGCGTGATAATCGGAAAACACTGTGTCATGCCGCTAGGCTATCGGGCTCGGACGAGCCGCCAACGGCCTCGGACCTCGCGGCCCGGCGTTTTACGCGTTTGTGTCGTTAGTTCTCACAGCACCTTCGTGAGGGCCGCGTCCCCCTCGGTCTGTGGATGAGCAGGTCACGCGAGCCGACTAGTGCTGGGCTTTAAAGCTGGTCTGGGTTCCCAAGCCCGTGTCCCTAACACCACGCCCACAAGGCTCCCCGGGCCTTTAGGTCCTGCTGGTTGTTGAAAAGGAGCTGTCTGGCTCCGAGCACCGCCAGGTACAAGTTTCACAGTTGGTAACATCAGCTGTGCTCCGGAATGAGACCTAAGAAATCCCTCTGTGGCTCTTTAAGATGGGACACAGCATATAGGGCAGAAACAGGGCAATAGCCTGAACATCATTAAACTTTAAGTAAAACGTGGGGTGGGGGGCTGTCTTCAACCTATACGACATCTGTGGAAGGCCCCCAAAAATCCAGATGTGTAGCCCCGCCCCAGCCCTGTTAAATTCTAATTCTCAGGCATTACAGTTGGAAGTTCCTTCCACCGCTTCTCAGAGTTTTTCTCTGCCCACGGTGGCATGATTCCAAAGCATGTCGCTAAGCAGTTTTGTAGCTTTTGATGGTGTGCATTGATTCAGGAGTAAGCATGAATACCTAGTGTATTGCATGTTCTGTTCGTCCTCCGTGGAAACTTGCTTAGAATCAGACTTCTGACAGGAGTTTAACAGCAAAAGGTTTGAGGTTATAGCCTCCAGTAGGGCAGATGTGTTGCCCATGAAAGGTACGCCCCTTCTGGCACCCAGCTGAATGGAGATGCCACCCCCGTCTCATTTGAAGATTAGGGACCCCGGTCAGGAAATGGACCTGGCGGCCTGCTGAAGACGGCGCTGCAGGTGCGGCTGCCCTTTTCTTCAGAACTATTGTGGGATTCTTCCAGGATACAAAGTGCAGTAACTGGGAATGGTGTCCAATCTCCTGTTTTTTCTTTCATACTAACCTTTAACTAAATCCTTCCTTTTCTTAACCATATTTTAACTTGAGTCGATGAACTCTATTTTGTAGGATATCTACAGCTAGTCCCTTGGTTCTCTTTCGCCCACCTGTGGTACCGTCCCCTCCCTGAAAGACAGCAAAGGCAGGCATTACTGTCCGAGCACCAACGAGGCTGCCAGTCAGAGCAGGCCCCTCCTTGCGACGGCCGAAACCTCACTCCAACACACAGCTCCTAACAGTTTCATTATTCTTTTCTCTGGATTGCTGTCTGGAGCTCTAGTAAGACTTTGTGAAGATTCTGTTAAGCGTCAAGACCAGAAGGTTTATTTTGAATTATGCTTTTAAGAGACGTAAAGTTCAAGAATTCCAAAAATACCAATACCCAAAACAAGCCTAAGAAGAA